GCGTCTTGTTTTCTCTTGCTCCGTTTTTTTTTATTTTTTTTTGCGTTTGATTTGTCTTCCTAGTTCTGCTCACTTCTGTTTGACAAACTGGGACCGAAAGGAAAAGAAAAGAAAAGAAAAGAAAAGAAAAGACCTGCCAAACGCGCAAACCCGGTCCTCGGTTCCCAGTGTTCTGTTTGATCGTTTCGTAGTCCACCGCCGTTGCTGGCGGAATAGGGCGAGTGTTCTCCCTTTCGAGTATGTTTTGGTTGAGTTCCCCGTTCTGGATTGTGATTGATGTCGTTATTCTTTGTCTGCCTGCGTCTGCCCGTGGATCGCCGCGACCTGGACGTGTCCTTCTCTGTGCTTCTTCCTTGTTGCTTGCATTTCGTCTATCGATTGCCGCGACCTGGATACGTCATTTTTTATTTTTTTATTTTTTTGTGCGTTCGTCAGTTTTCTCTTCGCTGTTTTCAACAATCGGCATCGTCGACGATTCGAAGTAGTCGAAGCATGGGTGGTGTTGTTTGCCTTTGAACACTTGGAAAACGAGTTCCCCACGTTTCGTCGGTGACGTTTGCCTCTGGATACATACTTGGAAAAAGAGTTCCCTACGTTCCGTCGTTTCCAACTGCCACCTTTGTTTCTGTAGCCTGGCTATCACGAGATGGGTTGACTACGCCCCATGCTCCGGACTTCTATACCGTTGCGTCCCCTTCTCCTGCGGCCTTCATCGACGTTCGCCATCGCCCACTTCACTAGACTTCTTTCCGCCATCGTCACTTACTGGCGTCGACTACATCATCATAGTCGAGATCCCGAGTTCAAGTGTTGTATGCATGTGTATGTGTTTTCTGTTTATGTGTTGTGTGTTTGTGTTTCATCATCGCCCGTCTGTGCGAGATATAGGGTGGCTAGTCGCATTAGTTTTCGACTTTGATCATTCGTGCCTCGTCCAGCCATTGGTTTTGTTTGGACTCCACGTTCCTTTGTGCAGTTTGGTTTGGATGACAATCAACGCCTCTTCCGTTTTGGCCATGAATGTTCTTCAGTCTTACCTTTTGTGGTCAGCGCATTCAGCCGTAGTGTGCCCGTCGTCCTGTCCTACGGAATTTTGCGGGAGTAATTCTGGACTCTCTTGTGTCGCCACCCTCATTCCTCCAGTCGTAATACGCCCTTGCGCGCGAAATAGAGTGGGTGTGGCGTTGATATTGATTTATTTTGTTTTTTGTGTTAAAATATGGTGCTTTGCAGCACATCTTGCCTAGCTTTATCCCTCCATGGGTATAACCTTATCATTGAGTCGCCACTAGCTGTGTTTCCGCGTCATCGGAATCACGTTTTGTCTCAATGGTGGTGTGGGGGGTCGAGTCGGGATATTCCTACAGCTCCTCTTTCCTTTGGATACACTTGTGAAGAGTTATATCTTTCGATTCATGATCCTAAATCATCAGCTATTAATAGCCTTAGGATTTGAGTATAGAATCTGTATGGATTATCTTCAGGGTGGGCTAGTGTTAAGGAGTGTTGCTGTATGGCACAGATAGGGTACACAGTCGGTCTAGATTAAGATGGGGGACGTCAGGAGGTATACCCTCTTAGGACTGTCTCTTATACACATCTA